CAGCTGCTGACCAAAAGGTTGGCAGTTTGAATCCACTAGCTGCTCCTTGGAAACCCTATGGGGCAGTTCTACTCTGTCCTATAGAGTCGCTGTGAGTCGGAATTGACTCAATGGCAATGGTTTGGTTTTTGGTTTATCACCATGTGGGGCCCCAGTAGCAAAGTGGTTAAGAGCTCAGCTGCTAACCAAAAGGTTGGCAGTTCAAATCCACTAGCCATTCCTCAGAAACCCTATGGGGCAGTTCTACTTTATCCTATAGGGTTGCTCTGAGTCGGTTTTATCAACATGTAATACTATTATGCAAAATACTGTACTACATGCATATTATACTGATTATCCTCATAACTAAGCTCTTCGCAGGCAATGAGTGACTCTTCTTTTGTACCACACAGTAATCAGAAGAGTACTAAGTAGAAAGAGGAACCCCAAATAGCACTTTGATTGATTGAAAGCACTTCTAAAAAGACTCAATGCTATACTATAGTTGCTGCAATACAGGCAGCAATAGTGCTATTAGACTCATTCTTCTTTAACCATAGTGTGTACTCGTTACTATTCAGATGACACAAAATATTACGTTTTAAGGCATTATCTGAATAATTTTAGAAATGCATCTGAAAGTTAACGGATGATGTGTGCGTTTACAAAAATTAACTCAAGTATTTATCTGTAAAGTAGCAAGATGATACATCTTATCTCATGCTGTAAAGAGCAAAACCTGACTGCTTGTAATTCTCCGCACACTCCATGCTATTTCACACCTCTCTGCCTCTGTTCACTCAGGCTATAATCTCTTTTTGAAATGTCATTCACTACCACCCCTCCTTATCAGCTGATCATTTTAAGACTCAGTTCAAGTTTATCTGCTCAAGAAGAACCTCCTGTCCCTGCAAATCTCCCTTATCACCAGCCTGGGCTGGGTGCACTTCCTTTGTGCTCACGTAACAATCTGATCATATCTGTTTCACTGTACTTATCTTAAAGTGAACCACACCATACTCAACTTTTGATCATATTTATAATACTTACAATAATTGCCTGTTCACTATTGGTCTTCCCTGTAACACTATATAAACCAGTTGCCATCAAGTCGACTTAGAATCACAGCAACCCCATATATGTCAGAGTAGAGAACTATGCTCCATAGGGTTTTCAATGGCCGATTTTTCAGCAGATCACCAGGCCTTTCTTTCGAGGCACTTATGGGTGGACTCAAACCTCCAACCTTTCAGTTAGCAGCTGAGTTCATTAATCATTTACATCACCCAGGCGCTCCATGACACTATGTTGTTGTTAGGTGCCGTCAAGTCCATTTTTCGACTCGTAGCAACCCCATGTGACAGAGCAGAACTTCTAGGTTGTAATCTTTATGGGAGATCGCTAGGTCTTTCTACGCTGAGTGGGTTCAAACCACCAACATTCCGGTTAGTAGCCCGGCACTTTACCACTACATAAGCCCCCAAAATACACAGACCTTTTCTTCACTGCTGCAGCTCACATGTTGAGCAAAATGTACAGCAAAGAGAGGTACTTAAAAATATTTTGGGGATGAATTAACCGATTAATTATCGACACTAGAGGTTATTTTAATACTATTATCCAAATCGACATATATTTAAAAATTATTTTAATTAAATAACACTGTGCATTCTGGATTAAAAAAAAAACACTTTGCCGTCAAGTCGATTCCGACTCATAGTGACCCTATAAGACAGAGCAGAACTGCCCCATAAGGTTTCCAAGGAGCAGCTGGTGGATTCCAACTGCTGACCTTTTGGTTAGCAGCCTGAGCTCTTAACCAGTGTGCCATTCTTTTAATCACAATCACATGTAAATATTTTAACAAAGATACTCATTTAAATTTTTTAACCGTTTAATTTTAAAGGTGAATATTTTTCTTATAATTTCTTTTTTTTAACTTTTAAGTCAGAAAAAAATAGGTTATACTTATTACTCCTTTTAATTAATAAAAGCAAAAAGTAGAGATTTTAAATTTTTAATCAAATAGTCCAAAAGAAAATATACTATGCTGATAATTAAAGGAGCATCTTCTGCTCTGATAGACTATATCGTAGCTACAATAGTC